GTTCTTTGAACCTACACGGGCACCAGTCTCCCATGAATGACATAATATTGTTAAAATAGAGATGTAACACTAATGTATCTTCCATGTCGTTTGTGGTAAGAAATAAATAAATTATTATTATTATTAAGCATATTTTTAAGAACTGTCAATTCAGCTGTCGGTGAAGGTATCTTAAAATGCGCCCGTGCCGCATTTATTTCCATGTAAGGTTTCCCATTTTATTTTTTATTCTGTAAAAAATATGACATAAACAGAATCTTAGTTTTAGTTGTTGTTGCAATTTTATTTTTATAAATTTCTCGAAAATTCGAGAGTCTCGGGAACCCTTTGTCAAGAACTCACAAGTCCCAAGAATAAAAAAAGACATCATAAAGTCTAGTCCGGGCTGCAGCTGTTTAAATCTCGCTTATCTAGCACAACGCGGCACCATTAAAAACCTTTTCTTCACACTCCTTGCAGGACGGATAAACGACTTAAGTATATGAAATCTTGGTAAACATATTTAATTTTTAACATACATTTTTAATTGGAAAGTTCACACACAAGAATCGTTAGCAAGCAACTGGCTACGTACTCGTAAAGCCCACATTACCTCAACCATTAACCGTATTTACCTTGCGTAGTAATAAGTGAACAAAGCAACCGTTTTAGTTAAAAATTTACACATCCAAAATATGATTACGTATGTACGAATATTTTCGCAAAATAAAACATGAAACTCAAACTTTGTTTAACTGAATTTACGCCTGGATGATTTGTAATTAAAACGTAAAATTTGGTTAGATTAAAGTTTAATTTTTACGGAGTTTGATGCTCATCAGCAGTTATATAATTGTTAATTGTCATTTAACTCATACTCAACTTATGGGAAAACATCGCGAGGAAACTTATATTGTCTAAGAAATAAAAAAAGTTCGCCAATACCATTGAGACAACGTGGCTTTTATATTTTCAGCCGTATAAAGGACTATGCCCAGCTGTGGAATGTATATAGGCTCTTACTTTACTTTTTTTCTAACAAAGATACAAGCAATGATTTGTTACCGTATAGAAGTAGATGCTGTGGCCTATGTGGGGTTATTTTGCAATAACCAGCCAAATTTGCAGATAAGGGTCATAATAAGTAATATAGCCAAATGATGAAGAAAAATTAATTAAAAAAAATCTCAAACATTCTGACCTTTTAACTTTTAAATTGAAAATGCGTAGTATTGTATTATTTTAACTAATTTTAGTGCGGACACGTTCGCAAGGGTCGATCTGTGGGTTGGCCATAAATCGCATTCAATTTTGGACAATTTCAAATTAAAGTAGAAGCTAGATTTACTCGCATTTTCAAAAACTACAATAACGTTAAATTATTATTTATATATTTGAACTTAAGTTTAAAATTAGTATACCCACACATCATTTAATGAACACCATAAAGGTCTTCCATGTCACACTCAACATACAAACAGAACATCATCATTGCTTTACTTAATTTTTTTATTCCTTTCCACTTCAGATTTATCTTTAGTCCAAAACTGAAACGTAGCCTTACTATTTTAAATGTTACGATTCATAGTGTGTAAATATGGGATCAAAAACATTCTTCAACCAGATCTATCCTATCTATATTTTAAACATCTACGTCTAATTATAGTCTACTAGAATTATACGTAATATTAAATATCTACGTATTTATAAAAAATCTCTATAGAAATAGAATTGCACCAGATCTAAATCCAAATGCGCTGATATAGCAACACTGGTCAAAACTCTTCCTGCTTTATTCCTTCATTTTAGTACTGTCTGAAATAAGACGGTTTGCTTCCTCTTTCGTAATTCTTACGGCGAACTAGTGCAAAATTTGCCGGCGTCTGTCTTTTCATCCAATTACAATCTGGGTATCTTCAAGACAAGAGTGCATAGTCTTTGTGTGGTTCGTCATCTGAGGTTTCATCAAAATTTGCCACCAATTGTTTGTTATTTTAGTCGGTCATTGGCTAACAGTAATCTTATAATAAATGAAAAAAGATATAAGGTTGTATTTTCTAGATTAACCATCGAGATACCTATCCCAATCTCACAATCTAGCGTTAGGCCGGATTTTGATCCAACTTTTGGTTTATCAATGATCATAAGAGTATTATTATCCATTTGGTGGTGGCGACTCAAGAAAATGGTAAAATTTTAATATGACCTTGTTGATATAACCGACTAGCATATAAATAAATACGCAAACAAGCTACGAGAAGTCCTCACAAAATGCAGGATATCTTGTAAGCTCTGATGGTCATTCGTTGACGACCAAACCTCCTTACATCGTAAAAGATCTACAATCCTAGACCAATTCTAGGTTGTAGGATTTCTTTTCTGCGTAGCAGTCCGTCTGATTAGGTGCCACGGTCTAACCTGAGTCTGAAGTCCATCAGCGGTATGTACACTAGTTCTCGTGCACGCTAAGTGTACATAGCTAGGGCTGCCATCCGTCGGGGATTTCCAGGATTTGTCCTAGTTTGGAAAACGTCCGGGGAGTGTCCGGGCGGAGTTTAAATTAACTACTGGACTACAATAAAAGTCCGGGTTTTCGATCAGATCCCGTTCCCATAATTTATGTAAATAAAAGCTGTGGGTTAGGTATTTCTGTCTTGTCGTCACAAAAACGATTAAGCACACTATTTCATGCAACAAAAGAGGCTTACAATTAAAGTTTTCTTCTATCAAGTACGGAATAAAATATATTTTAATCAGGATGTAAGTGAATGAAAAAAGTATTAAAATATCCGGGGTGAAACCTCCAAAATCCGGGGAACTTACGTTTCCGGTCCTGGGAGCAGGTTATAGAGATGGCAGCCCTATACATAGCCAATATAATGACTTTGAGGCATACCGCTTTAATTCTCAGAGGTGACAACGCGTCGGTAGCCTTCTTTGATTGAAACAGGTTGCAGGTGTCCTTGGACTGCAGAAGTCACTTACCATCAGGTGGACACTAAGTTCGTCTATCACTTAACTTTTATTTTTAAAAAATATCCACCTACAACCTATTACTCTACTTTTATCTGTGGTCTTCGATTGATTAAAACTATTTTTACGGATTTTATCGCGTTTATTTTACTATTATTTTTAATTCCCGACGTTTCGGGCGCTTTCCAGCACACATGGTCACGGGGGACTGAGATGACTGACGTCCCGATGTCATTGTTAAACCCGGAGTACCTTCAGCTTTTTTAATTATTGTTTATGGTCCGATCTATGCAAAATGAACTATGTCCTGAGGTCTTGCAGTGGTAAACCCAAGTAGTAGTACTAAACCCAAGCATAACACTGCTGCTCCGGGTTTAACAATGACATCGGGACGTCAGACATCTCAGTCCCCCGTGACCATGGGTCCGGGAAAGCGGTTGACCACCATCTAGAGGAGACCATAAGATATTTCTTACATATTCCAAAGTCATCTCTTGCAGCGACAAATGAAATGAAATAGGGTGACAAATCTCTGACGCTGGACTGATAGTAACTGAAAAAAATTACAGTGCGTATAAAAAGGCGTAACGACTATCTGTGAAGCAATCGTGTTTAAATATTTATGTCACAAACAATACATTATAACATCGTTGAGCATAATAATATCAGTTTCGGCCACCATCTAGAGGAGGCCATAAGATATTTCTTACATATTCCAAAGTCATCTCTTGCAGCGACAACGGAATGAAATAGGGTGACAAATCTCTGACGCTGGACTGATAGTAACTGAAAAAAATTACAGTGCGTATAAAAAGGCGTAACGACTATCTGTGAAGCAATCGTGTTTAAATATTTATGTCACAAATAATACATCATAACATCGTTGAGCATAATAATATCAGTTTCGGATAAGGTTCCACAAAAGCCTCTGAACTTCTACATTCTGGTGTATATTCTTTATTAAGATAGTTTCGAGATGCCGGTGTAGTAATAAAAAACAAAAAAAAGAATAAACAGGTAGTTATCAACGTTAATCGTCAAAATAATCGTGCCAAAAACGTAGTTAATTGTACGTCCTAACTACTATATGTGACTACCTTCTTATAGAAACTGTGGACACCCAGACATATCTTGGTCTTTTTATAGACGTTTGGAATAAGCTAAGGCAATTTTAGAGAATTTTATAATTCTTAATAATCGCTTTTTTTATAGAATAAGGGTGACAAACTAGCACACAGTCCACCTGATGGTAAGTGGATGCTGGGGCCCATAGACATCTACATTATCTACATTTATCTTCAGTTAAAAATCAAAATGCAGATGCGTCGCTAACCCTGAAAACCAGTTCCAGTACAAAGGGTCTCTGGTTCTCTACACTCACCTTATGAAACACAGCAGCATTAAGCTGCTATTTTACGCTAGTATTTAATGAGAGCGTGGTCCTAACCCGGTCGAGCCTACCCGTTCGTGCTGCAACCACAATCCACAATATAGTTGCAGCGTGGCCCTACCACGTCTACACTTCGAACTTAAGTTAATGCTTTATAACTCATTAACAGTATCTTTTATATAGTACGGGTTCAGTAGTTATGGGCGCACATAAATAAGACACATCTAAATCAAATATTGACTCGTAAAAATATACTCGTAGTAGTATCTTTTAATATTTTTTGGGATCTATAAGTACCTAAATAGTATTCTATTATAATTTTTCCCACCTAAGAAGCTTGACAACTAGGAAGAATATTCTTTCTATGAGGAAATCTATGGAGAAGGTCTTTGTTCAGCAACGGTATTATGGGTTTATAATGAATAAATATGTATACAGAAATAGTACTTTTATCACCTCACCATCTCTGTTAAGCCATTGTTAAATGAAGGTCTTTTCAATAACGCTTATTCATGTATACATAATGTATGGTAAATGATTCATTAATTCATTTTAATTTTAAAAATAAAACATAACTGAATTGTATCTACATGTTTTGCTGTCGTGTATTATGGTGTCACGTTTGTCTTAGTAAAGTTATATTAAAAATACTCCCCAGCACTACCTGCAACTGACTCTCATGGCGATGTTCCTGTGCGCCGTGCACCAAATACTTATCACCATAGCCAAGACCATCCTCCTAATCATCATATGCTTCACCTATGTCGCCATCACCATACACAAGCAAATATACTTCCAAGGCAATTTCTTTAGCTACCAGTAAGTATACTCCTATATGTCTGTAAATTTTAGGGTAGTCAGAATCTTTGAAAAATAAGAAAATCTAAATTTTAAATAATTAAAGCATTTTATTTTGAACTGGTCTAAAACCAGAAAGAAGGCTTAGTAGCTGGGACTCGTTTTAATATTTCTTAATTATCATGTTCTCTCAGTCTAAGATGGCCACAACAATAACTTTCAAATAAATAATACAATTATAGGAAGATAACAACTGCGTAAAATATTATCGTATCGCAATTAATTTCCCTAATATACCTTTTTCTCACATAATATTTGGTAGTAAGTAAACTCGATCCAACCCACAAACAGGTCATTTTTTATGCCAGAGCAACTTAGAGTTTAAACCTTATCGTAGTTAACCCAGGCTACTTTTATATTTTAATAGAAAAGAATAGAACAATATTTAAATTTTTTTTAAATATTTTAATTCAATATAGATTACATGTAAATCTTATTTAAAGGCATTTTTTACTTTCACCGCTGGTTCCCAAAAATCCTCAGTCCTGGGAAGAACCAGCAAGAAACCCAGCTGGACTTTTAATTTAATTATTAAAATCTAGCCGTGGTATGATTGGGCTTGGATTTAATTTTAAGCCATCTTCTATATTGTAATTAGGGCGTTGCTTTTTTAATTCTATAGCCTCTCGACTCACCTATGATAGCAATTAGTGTTTTTTCAAGGATTTGTTGTTTTAATAAAAACGCAGTTATTAAAAAGCAACATATTACACATTAACATTGAAGAGCAACCCAAACATCAATATCTTAAAAATTGCTTTTTGTTAGTTAGATTATTTTGACATAACTAAGTAAAATATTATACGTCCTTTATGATATCAACATCTAATTAATTAGAAATCTACTTAAGCTTAAATTCAATTCGATTGAGAAGTTTTAATTATAGCAAAAATAATACAGGATCTTGCAAATGACGTAACCGTATGCCTATATTTTAATTGAAATTAGTCTTACGTTTTAAACATTTGACAATAATACTTTGTCTTTTTTTACAGAAACAAATGCAATATGGATTGGAATCAACATTGGGCTAACATAGTGATCGCTATTGGAGCAACGGTGGCACTTTTGCTGCACTCCCAACAAACCGAAAGCACATACCGACTTGATTTTATTTGGAAACTACAGGCTAACGGTTAATAAAATGTTGTTTTTTTATTGTAGGCTATGTCGTATTTTATATATTATAAAATTCTTCTGCTTAAACTCCTCGTAAATGGCTGGAACGATTTTGATGAAATTAAGTGTGTGTGATTGATTCGATAATGGTTTAGAATCACAATCGGACATGCGAAGACGACGTGTTGTCGAAATCCAGAAATCACCAAAGGGCTAATCGCTAGTATTTCTATATAATGTGGCTGGGCACGGGGTTCCTCTCATTTCTGGAGAATTATGAAGCAATTAGTCCGCCGCACATCTCTAATGCTTATTGACAGACTTCATGCAGGTTCCCTCACAATGATTTCTGTATTTTCTTAACTTTCACCAATATAAAGTAATAAATTAAAATGTTAATAACGTCCTGCAAGCCGACGAGACGACATAATGAATGTAGACAAACTTCAAGGGTCCATAGATAATTAATCCTAGAGATTAGTTCACTACCTCGCCGTCATAATCTAACTCGTTAAAAGTCACGTTGCTTCTATTTTTATCTCATTTTAGTTGGCTTTATTACACATCAAGTCGACCTCCTGAGTCAATTAGAGAAAATGTAAAAAAAAATATAAATGTGTATTGAGGTGATAAGAAAATAAATTCCCACATTTCGTCTCGATATTGTATGAAATGATTATGAAAAAAGCCAGAAATACCTCATGGGCCCCGATAAATGGCGGTTCGCTATCTCAAATTGCTAAATACCGACCACGACTACATTTACGTGGCGGAAACCAAAAGGAATCGATTTTTTTTATAGGAGAGGGGGCAAAAGAGCATGCGACTTACCTGACGGTGAGTAACTACCGACGGCCGTGAACAACTGCAACGCCGAAATTGTTTCAGTGGCTAACGCCTAAACCAACAATGCCATGACTGGCTCCCAGACCCGGTACATAGTCGTGTAACGCGAGAGGGTTCCGGGTAAATATGGTAAATGACTGCCTCGTGCCACGTGCAGACGATACGTTCGAAATGTAATTGCAGATACGTTACCGGCTTTCTAATAAGGAGTAAGCTCTTTTCTTGATGGTTCTTAAGTCGTATCGGTCCGGAAAAATCGCTGGTGGTAGTCGATTCCACAAGGATATTGTGCAAGGAAGAAAACTTCTTATAAATCGCATAGTGGTGGACCGCAAATCATCCAGATGATACGGATGTACGGATCGCGAGTTCTGTCGCGATGTCCGATGGTGAAGTTGAGCGGCTGGAATTAGTCTGAGAAACACACAAACAAAAAAGACTCGACTTCAGGCACAAGTTTATTCCGGGACTCGACGTCGTGTTTCCAAGAAATATTAGGTCTTTACTTATGAAATTGCCCTTTCATTAATTTATTAATGCCCTTCTTGAAGGGACCTTGCTGGACGGGAGGCAACAAATTCTTCAAAGGCATTTTGTACTGCCTCTCTAGTATTATATTTTTCCTGCAACGAAGTTATCCAAATTCTGGTCTATAGACGAAATCTATAGACGAAACGCCTATTGAATACAACGGATGACAGAGAGCTTCTAACTCCAACTCTTGTTACTTGTGAAGTATGAGGTCGCGCGATGTCGTGCAGGAGCAGTGAGGACGAGCGATTGACCAAAGGTGGTGGGAGACGTGCGAGCTTCTTCATCATTGCGTTCAGTCTTCACAATTCACATTTGCAGTAATGCTCATCCCGTTTGGAAAGCTGTAATGAATCACACCGCTATAGCACCAAACAGAAATCAATTTTCTATGGGTTTTCGTTTAGAGCATTGCTTAGGTGCTTAAACAGAATTCAACCAACCTACTGAGAACTTGCGGTTGGCAAACAGAATCCATTTTTTGTCGCAGGTAACAATGCGGTTCAAAATTCCTTCGTTTGTCGCGCTATGATCGTTGAGCTCGCGGTGTACTCATTCGTCAAGATTTTTTACCTTGCTGATTCGACGGAAATAAACCAATATTGTTTTGATGCTAATTTCCAAAGCTGTTGCTAATTCAGCCGTAGATGGAGTATCATCAGCTTCCACAATCGCCTTTAATTCGTCATTGTTGACCAAAGTATTCGGACGACCACAGGGTTCATTTTTCAGGCCGAAATTTCCAGAACGTAAGCGTTTAACCAACAAGTGGTGCGTTCGTTAGAAGTATTCGCTCCGTAAACGTCGTTAATTTTGCGTGCCGCTTGTGCCGCTTGTGCCGCGTTGCTGCGACGATGCTACTCATATTCCATAATTACTCGAATTTCTAACGTATCCATGATGAAGAAAAAGATTCATATGAAAAAAATAAACATACAGTGCAACCTCGTTATAACAAATCGGAAGGGAATAAGTAAATATTCGTTACATTAAGTAATTCGCTGAACTGAGGTTTGTTATGTTGAGGTTAGGTTGGTCTAAAATTTGTTATATAGAGGTAAAAAAATAATATTATTCACAACTTCTACTAATAAACTTTATATAAAGGTCTTGGGTCGACAAAATTCGTTAATTAGAGGTATTCACACTTTTTCTTGATAGTTAAAATTCGTTATAAAGAGGTTATTCGCAAGAAATGTTCGCAATGTAAAGGTATATTTTACAAGTACATTGACTCTTATGGACAATTCACGGGGATTACGAAGAATTTGTTAAATCGGGAAAGTCGTTTTATTGAGGTACGTTATATTAGGTTGCACTGTATTATTGTATAAAATATAGTTTCATGTTTTTAAAATAAAATTAATTTGTAATTAGAATTCTTAGCCAAACAAAAATTATTTTGATTTCAAACGGCCAGTACTGCAGAACGGCAATGTAGACCTATTATTTGCACGGCCGGCGTATAAGACATCGCCACTGGTTTGTAACATATCGTAGATATGCAGAAGGAACGGGATAAGCGATAGCGCGCGAACGGCGGTCAAAATCCCGGCAAAACTCTTGCTCCTTTTTACATACAGAATAATTAATGTCAAACGTAAAACAAAATTAGAAACCCTAACCTTCGTCGAAAATTGTTGAGAACATTCTCGGTCTTATTTACATAACCGCAAACATTCAAATAATTTCAAAGATGTTTAAACAAAGGCAATATTTCGACTTAAATGACTCGTGCCTGAATTGCCTTGTAATTAGATCAGAAGTAAGTTAAGATGCAGGACCAGACATGGGGTCATTCACAAACAAACAGAATCTCCATCGGCAAGATAGCTGTGCACTGCTACTAAGTCACATACTCAGTTATAGCGGATGCAAATTTAACGTTGCTTACAATTAATCCATTAGTTACGTCAAGAAATAAATAAGTAATCCATACAATGAGATCGTTCACGCGCTACTTTGGAATGAGGTTAAATATTTGACAGATTTCATAGCGGAAAGTTAATTTGTTATGAAAATGTAGGGGTAAATTTTTATTTCTTTAATATTAGTATAATTGTATATTAATTATATTAGAAATGAATCAACCAAACTGCGGATATTCGTAAAAGTATTTATAGAAGTTAATAAAAAGATTAAAAATGTGCAAAAAAAAACAAAAAGCAACCAACTAAGGCCTTGTTTCTTGTATTATTATAATACTCTGTAATCAAACTGACTCTGTGCTAGTAAACAGACATTTATTTGAAATTCTCAAGAGAGCAACTAGTGACATCTGGTGTACGAAAGGTTATAACGACTCACTGAACTTGGTAAAAATAACGGGAAATGTACTATAAATATGATGAAATTAATTTACTAAGGTCTGTATATACTAACCGATCCATCACTGCCATCATTACAACCAACATCACAACACCGACCTGACACGACTAACGACTATATAATTCACACCACACTCGTCATGGTTCACTGGAAGGTCTTTTCGAACTATAAAGTTAATAATTAAACTTTTATTATAAAGTAACAGCAGACTTTAAAATACATAATAATTTCACTTTACGTGGTAGAGCCAATTTGCAGATATATTATACTCGTGGTAGTAGCACGAATAGGTCGGGTAGACGCTCTCACGGAATACCAGCGTAAAATATCATATTAATACTGATGTGGTTCATATGGTGAGTGTAAAGAACCGGAAACCCTTTTTACTGGAAGCGAGGCATTCCAGCTTAGTCCTCAGGGGTGAGAACGCATCTGCATTTTGATTCTCAATAAAAAATACTATATTATTTTTAGTACTTGTACACTTACATAGTATATGGAACAATAAAAGCTATATATATATATATATATATATATATATATATATATATATATATATATATATATAATAAGCCCCAACTTTAGACTATGAAATCATTTTAAGCTATTGCATAGCTTCTATCGCGGACCTTGAGCGCGGGGACCGAATCCAGAAATTCCGTAACGAAAAAAAACCTCACGCTCCCCACTCCGACGGGCACGAAGGTGTGGCGTTGAAAGCCGTGCATCGTCTAACGTCGTTTCAGTTCGGCAGACTTCGGCACTCGGCAGACTTCGGCACGGTGTTTGTGTGCGTGCGACTAGACGTATGCGTGTACACTAGCTGCTAACTGAATGATAAAAATTCCTGAATAACCTACATGTATTGTAATATATTTAAAATATTTTAAACAATATTAACTTCTCATTTATTCAATAAGAGAAAAAAAATTGTTTTCTTATCGGTCACCACTCTCAATAAGTGTAACTTGATTTAATATCAAAGACTTAACTGCGTAAATAAAATAAATAAATAATTATAATTGCATAAGTTGATAAAAAATGCTATGCAATAGCTTTACCGCGGCAGTCACCGAGTGCCACACGTATTTTTTTTTCATTTCAGTTAGTTGAAGTCGGTTTTTTTTTATTTTAGGACCTTTTAGTGGACTAAAGAAACTAATATGCTCAATGTCACAACTACAATGTTGTCTGAATAGTTTTCGTTCCCTACCATTCCATTCATACGTGTAGAAATGTTTCTCCATGTTAATATGTAGCCACGCTTAAATAAAAACTATATACAAAAAAGAGAAAAAACATTCTACTTTTTTGAAATCATCTTATACACACAGTTTTATTTTTATACGAGAGTCTTGCCATGGAGATTGATAAATATTTAAAAAAGGTTGCCACAAAGCACAATCCTGAGTTACCCGCATTCATCCAAATTCCATTAACTTCTTGCATCTCTTAGTAAATCGTCATAACGTCTAGTGAACCTTGTGTGTAACTATGTAACCTTTCTTCCCTCATTAGTTGTCGGTTCTTTGGGCTATTTAACCAGCACATTTTCATTTCAGCTTACTGATCTTTTAAGCCGCATCGGTTACGGTTTCACTGCAGATATCCATCCTTATTACTAAGTTTATTAAGTCGAGGAACTCCTATGACAGAACCTCTTTTATTATATTACGTTCTATTACATTTACGATTTTTTTATTGTAGATGAAAAGGAAGACATGGAACACCTAGAAGCGTACAACCGAAAATTGCTGGCTAACATTCTACCTGAGCACGTCGCCCAACATTTCCTTTGTAGCGACAAGAATAGCGATGTAAGTAACGATTTGATAAGTACTTATCATAAATAAGTAAAATTAAATTAAAAGTCAAAATTTTAGAGACATTTTTTCATATTTTAAAACATTGTTATTATTATGGAAGAAAATAATATTTTATCAGCTAAGTAATACTTACAAAATAATGTAAATATAATAACGTCTTGCAGACCAAATTTCGGTGACGGTAGCTAGTTTAAAAACTTCTTGACTTCTGGCTAGTACTGAATAAATTTCTTGACAGAAATTTTGAGATTTTTGAGATCATTAAATAATTATCGCTCGACCCGGGATTCGAATCTAGGACCATCATGTTAAGCAATCGCATTTATGCCTCCGAAATCCAAACGAATTCAAATTTACAAAAAGATGTAAGATATAATAATGTCATGAAGTTTATTAAAACATTATGACCATTGATTTATATGTACTATGTACTAGAGAAGCTATTCCAAACCAAAAATGTGCACTAATCTGTATCTGCGCATGCGCGGGAAACAGTAGAGTCGCGCATGCGCAGTTGATATAAACGCGCGAAAATTGTCATAATAAATAATTGTTTCTTTAGATTGTATTGTTAATCGACTACCTAATTCTTTTTAATTTTCATTTATTTTGTGCTAATTTAATATAAAATTATTATTAGCGCCGCACCGCACTACATGAATATCCAAGCCACAATAACAGGTGTACGGATTACAGTACAATTCAGTTGAACATAGTGAGTGTTTGGAATGCGAAATCTAGTACGTAGTACATATATATTGATGATTATAATTTTCTAACAAGGACATTTAAGTAGTAGTAGTATTTATATTTAAATCTCTTTGCCTACTAATGTATTTCAGTTCCTATTTAATAACAGCGACTTAACTCATTTCTCATCGATCGACTAAATCATCGTCAATATTAGTTAGTGAAGTGTAGTGACGGGTTAAAATTATCCACTAGCCAATGTCATCTCATGGGTGACGTAAGAGGCGACATAGGGAAACTGGGATGAGTAGCAGCATCCTGCTGGTAACAAGTGAAAATAATAAAAATCTACAGTTGACAACCTCACTGGCAGGCGTGGCAACAGAAGCAGAAACTTTTTTATTCAATATAGATTATAAATAATACTTATTGAAAGTCACCATTTTTAATTTACCACTGCACTGGTTCGAAAAAAAAAACTCTGTCCTGGGAAAAACCAGCAAGAAACCCAGCGGGACTATTTTTTTTATAAAATAACAGCTTACAATCAAGTATGTTACAATTAACAACACAAAACAATCAGAAATAGCTTGGTAGCGATCACCCTTCTATGGCATATGTTCAACAGTGATCTTTTGATAAGCTATAAAGATGATGATTACCATTAATATTTCACGTATGAACTATTTCATCCACAGGAGTTGTATCACGAGCAGTGCGAGTCTGTCTGTGTTATGTTCGCCTCGATCCCGAACTTCTCAGAATTTTACGTCGAACTTGAAGGCAACAACGAGGGTGTCGAGTGTCTGCGCCTACTTAACGAAATAATAGCCGACTTCGATGAAATACTGGCTGAAGATCAGTTCAAGTACATTGAGAAAATAAAAAGTACCGGCGCAACGTATATGGCAGCTTCAGGTACCTTTACACAGATGAAATCTGCTACTATAATTAATTAATTCACTGTGATAATTAGCAACCACAGACTGTGTCGGGTATAAACTCGTTACAAGTTAGCGAAATTGAAATCCATAAGCATCTAAATGAAGAAATTTAATGTCTTTTTTTTTTTAAGTTTACTCTAAATTATTTTTTTAAAAAAGTAACAACTGGTTTTACATGTATTTTTACAATTAAAAATGGTTTTTCTAAAATGTAAATTCAAACGCCAGTGACGTCATTATAGTCATTGCATAATACAGGTTAAATGTTTTGTTATGACACCTGGTGATCTGAATATAGAAAATACAAAAGTATGTGGGAACATAAATTAATGCAACTTCTCTTTTCTATTGAATTTAATAAATATGCTGGCCCAGATGGTATACCGACCATTCTTATTTATATATTATATTCTATATACCTAATTTAATAATAAATAATCTAATTATATAATATATTCATATTAAGTAAGTGTGCTAAAAGCTTTACTAATCCGTTAACAATAATATACAGACGTTATATTAAAGGAAGGAACAGTATTAGAACTTATTTGGAAATCTTCATTTATTACCCCCGTCTATAAAAAAGTCCAAAGGACCGTGTAGATAACTATAAGCCAATATCCAAGCTTTGTTCATTCACCGAAGCCTTTGAGAAAATCGTATACTCATCTTTATATCATAGCGTCAAATAAATATTCAGTGATTATCAACACGGTATTTTAAAAAGTAGATCCACTGTTTAGAATCTTCACTTCGAAAATTGTGTGTTCTGACTATTTAACTAAAATCATTTCTGAGCGCTTACAAGTGGACGTCATCTATACTGACTACAATAAAGCGTTCGACCGTTTAGATCACGTTATACTTCTCAGCAAACTACTTTTAAGCTCGTATTATCTATAGGTGAAAACTTTTAAATGACCTTCTAGTTTTTATTCATTTATTGTTAATGTTAGCTGTAACTTTTCCTAAAATATAAAATAAAATAAAAGCTCGAAGACGGATACGGTTCCTTAACAGATTGATTATTACCAGAGATTACTACCAGAGACAGACATATTGATTCGAGAGCCCTTAAAATCAATTTCTGATAATTTAAACAGCGGAACCATAGACATTTTCTCATTATTCTAGTTTCAATATTTATTCTAGAAATAAATATACATTTTACTTAATGAGACGTTGCATATTCAAGTTAATAATAACTTATGAGCACGTAGAGCGCCTAAATTAAAAGTAGAAAAGATTTTCGTAGCATAGAAATTCTTATTAGTTTGTACTTACGAGTATACCTTTGTAATTCTTATGACTTCTTCACACATTTTTGTACCTATTGTAACGCTTCCCCCCCCCTCTCATAATAATAAATATATAAAATACTAAATGTATTATAATCCCCTTTTTTATTAAAAATTATATATATGTGACCAAGATAATTAAGATATGTTTTGATCTTTCTAAATGATCTTTCTAAAGGTTTAATAATAGGCCGTTTGTAATATTTTTGGCGTGATCGTCTTAGTTAGGACGCTTATTTACGTTGTGTTTGTTTAGTAACTTAGTTCTTTTAGGTGTCCTTTGGAAGAATGAATATTCACTAGAGCAATTGAAAGCTGTTGGTAGTGCCTTAGAAGCTAAGTGAACCCCGTTCACGAAGACAGGGCTCGAGAAAGGTTAAGAACGTAAAACGTCTTTATTCCACTTGTATCAGGTTGACATTATTAATTTATTATTATTTATCCCTTCCCGCTTGGAAAAGGCTCACAATATATTTATACAAAAATACCCGATACAAGGGCTTCGCTCTCCTACATTTATTTAAAAAAAATGTAGGGGGAGGTACACGGCCCCACACACGCCGTGCACGGTGAGCGCCAACCATTTTGATGCACTCCCCCCGAAGGGAAAGCTAATTCGAGAACTGAACCGTAGTCCACAGCAAAATAACTGGCGAACCAGTAAAAGAGGCTTGGCCCCTTGCCAGTGCGTAAGCACAAACATCGACCGAAGTCGCGCATGTCAATGCGTGTAAACGCCAAACAGAATACGAACGAATCCAGCCACAGTGAATGTACGTCACACGGTTTAGGCAAATAGGCACACTGGCCGTAAACCCTCCGTGAGCGCCACCACCTGCCAGACCGCCGCTCCTGCAGACGTGATGTAAGTGTATGGCATCACCACCAATTGCATGATCAGCACGGCTACTAGCCGCAGAGCGTGTCATGAGTCTTCCGCTCACCTCAAGGGAATGGGGTCCCACGTTGTGCGGCTTTCGGCCGCAGCCTTGAGAGTCTCCTCAGGTCCTCCCGCCAGCTACCACCCGCATGAGGTCGACACATATGCTACACCAACCAATACAACGGCAGATATAGCCAAAAGGCAGTTATAAGATAAGAGTAATAATTCGCCATCAGAAAGGGTTTGTGTCACTGACGTTGAGTAAATGCATTTTCGATCATGTTTGTCTCACCCACCAACAAGTTGCCTTCAATCATTCAAAGGTGGGAAAGTTACAGAGATATAATATTATGTTGTTATATAAAACATAGTGGAGGGCAGACAGTCTGCAGCCCCGCAATGAAGGGACCCGACTTGGGCAAAGCTACTTAGGTGTGAGTCAAACCAAGACGCAGAGAGCTCCATTGAGAATAGCGTCCCACCAAACAACCATCGCAGAGACGCAATGCTGCAGAACGCAACAAGCATCAATACGACTATCGTCGGGCTTACACCATCCCAAGGTCCCCCATACATCCCAGCAGACATCACCACCCGCATACCTCCATCGACCAGAACCACAAGAATGCGTCGAGTCAGGCGAAGCACACCCGCAGATCCATCACAAGACGCAATACCGCAAGTAGCAGTAAGCATCAATGCAACTATCATACGGATGGCGCCCCCTCACAACACACCCACATGATCCCTATCGACTTTGGTAACAAAGTTGGCATTGTTGTTATATAAAAAATATCACCAACGTATCATAGTAGCACGCTACTAAGACGCCAATGAACAAAACTCCACGTATCATAGCGCTAATGCACTAAGACATGAAGTTGAGTATGCCTGTTACATTTAGAAGTGCTACCAAACACACTCATCATCCCAATCCGAAAGATAGACGACACATCGCTATGCGCAACGACGTCGCCCACAAACGGTATGGGTGTGCGATGTCCACGGGAAAGCCGTATTGCTACAACAAACCCGCTTACCACCGGCACTAAGATGTTAATTGTATACCTCCATCGACCAGAACCACAAGAATGCGTCGAATCAGGCGCAGCACACCCGCAGATCCATCACAAGACGCAATACCGCAAGTAGCAGTAAGCATCAATGCAACTATCATACGGGTGGCGCCCCCTCACAACACACCCACATGATCCCTATCGTCTTTGGTAACAAAGTTGGTATTGTTGTTATATAAAAAATATCACCAACGTATCATAGTAGCACACTACTAAGACGCCAATGAACAAAACTCCACGTATCATAGCGCTAATGCACTAAGACATGAAGTTGAGTATGCCTGTTACACTTAAAAGTGCTACCAAACACACTCATCATCCCAAACCGAAAGATAGACGACGCATCGCTATGCGCAACGACGTCGCCCACAGACGGTATGGGTGTGCGATGTCCACGAGAAAGCCGTATTGCTACAACAAACCCGCTTACCACCAGCACTAAGATGATATGTCTAGGACACATCGGTTAGTGAGTCCAAGTTTACCTCAGCCCAATTGCTCGTGAAGCAGCACACACGCCGCCATAATATTCCTCTTAAATTCCCTAATAAGGACTAGTCATTTGCTACAGTACTAGGAGCAGTCGGTCACCCAACCACTCCATACAATGCGTATGCATCAAGGAGACCTTCTATAATATTGCTTTTGTATCATAGACCTTACTTTCATAAGTCATTAATATATAGGGTTCGAACCCACGACCCTACTATTGTAATGCATATTAATCATAGAGACCTTCTATAGTATTGCTTTTGTATCATAGACCTTACTTTCATAAGTCATTAATATATAGGGTTCGAACCCACGACCCTACTATTGTAATGCATATTAATCATAGAGACCTTCTATAGTATTGCTTTTGGATCATAGACCTTACTTTCATAAGTCATTAATATATAGGGTTCGAACCCACGACCCTACTGTTGTAATGCATATTAATCATATAGACCTTCTATAGTATTGCTTTTGTATCATAGACCTTACTTTCATAAGTCATTAATATATAGGGTTCGAACCCACGACCCTACTATTGTAATGCATATTAATCATAGAGACCTTCTATAGTATTGCTTTTGGATCATAGACCTTACTTTCATAAGTCATTAATATATAGGGTTCGAACCCACGACCCTACTGTTGTAATGCATATTAATCATATAGACCTTCTATAGTATTGCTTTTGTATCATAGACCTTACTTTCATAAGTCATTAATATATAGGGTTCGAACCCACGACCCTACTATTGTAATGCATATTAATCATAGAGACCTTCTATAGTATTGCTTTTGTATCATAGACCTCACTTTCATAATTCATTAATATATAGGGTTCGAACCCACGACCCTACTATTGTAATGCATATTAATCATAGAGACCTTCTATAGTATTGCTTTTGTATCATAGACCTCACTTTCATAAGTCATTAATATATAGGGTTCGAACCCACGACCCTACTATTGTAATGCAAATTCATCATGGAGACCTTCTTTAGTATTGCTTTTGTATCATTGAGTTTAATATCATAAGTCCCTAATATAGGACTAGTCATTGTGCTACAGTACTTCAGGCAGTCGGGCTCCCGACCACCCCATATATATGTACAACTGCAGGAATGTATATCCGGCAGCTCCTCCATACAAGACATCTATACATGAACACCTTCAATAACTTGACTGACTTAAACAATTTTTAACAAATTTTCTAATTATCTTATAAACGTTATTTAACTTAATTTTATAATATTTTTTTGACTTGTATTTCTATTATTTATCTTATTTTAAATATTTTTTTCAAGTTTTTAAATAAATTTATTTATTACGAAAAACAATAATTTTGCCTTTAATTTACTATGTTATTGGTCTAATGTCTGAAATGTATTTATATTAACTTTATGGTTATTAATGTAATTTTATTGTTATATATTAAACAATAAAATTACATGATAAAGATATATATTAATCTTTTAAGACTATTTTTGACGCCCCTTTATATTGAATTTAATTATTAATAATAATATTGGGCCGTCACACTATGAACAAATTATCATGTATATATCATAATTGGTATTATAAGGTAGCTTAAGAGCTAAACGTACGCTGTAAATTTTATAGAACACAAACGACCTGGGTTCAATCCCAGCCGACACCGATAAAAAAAATATTGCAATTTTAAGTGCTGAGTTACTACGTACTTGGCGCTGACCAAAAACATCATGAGGAAACACAATTATCTTCATGTCTGAGAAATAACAAAATATTATTATGTAGACATGTGGAGTCAGTTTTTGCATGATGGGGACACTTACTTAATCTAATCTAAAACCACTTCAGTAATAAACTGAAAATTTCAAAAATTTTGAACTTTTTGCCTTTTAAATTCAAGTCAAGTCGTAATGAATTATTTTAACTGATTTTACTGAGTCGATCGATATCGGTACCACATTTAGTTTAGCATAATTTCATATAAAATAAGAAGTTTTTTTATTTTTTATTTATATATTTGAACTTATGTTTAAAAATTGGCTACTCTTTGAAAAATGACTCTGTTTAATGGCCAATAAAAATATCAGAATTTACGAAATTTTGAAAACTATGATAAAGACCCTTTTACACAGGTCTATTTTTCTTTATTATATATTGAATCCACAGCTAGGCGCTTCAAATAATAGGTCCTTACATATGAAATTGGCGTTTTGTACGGGAGGAATACAAAGTCAATTTTTTTCTGTAAAATATATTTAATTAATCAAAGTATGGACCGTTGTTATCTATGCACTTTTGCCATCTCATTGGTAGTTCATTGATTCCTTTACTAAAAAAAACCATGGGGGTGAGAATCAATAAACTCTTTGAAGGCGGTTTGAACTGCCGCATCGGAGATGAATTTTTTTCCTTGTAACAATTTGTCCAAATTCCGGAAAAAATGGTAATCTGTTGGTACAAGGTCCGGGGAGTACGGTGGATTTCGCAGACATTCTAATTGTAGCTCATCTAACTCGGTGGTTGTTTGTTGTGCAGTGAGTGGTCTTGCGTTGTCGTAAAGCAGCAGTGGCCTACAGCGATTGACCAATCTCGGTTGTTTAGCAGCTAGTTCTTCCTTCATGGTTTGCAGTTGCTGACAGTAGATATCTGCCGCAATCGTTTCGCCAGACTTTAGAAAGCTGTAGTAAACGACATCGGCGCTAGTCCACCAAACACTCACAAGTAACTTTTTCTGAGTCAATTTTCGTTTAGGGCAGGATTTGGCGGGGTCTCGTACAGTATCCACTTTTCATCACAAGTAATGATTCGATTTGAAATCCCTTCACTTTTGTGTCGGTTGAGCAAAGTAACACAGCAGTCGACGCGTGTTTGCAAGTTCGATTCACTCAATTCATGATGTACCTATTGTTCAGGTTTTTTTACTTTCCTGATTTGCTTCAAGTGGATTAATACAGTTTTATCACATACCCCAAACGGTCGTCCACGGTCCACGTCCACGGTTGGTTCTGAAGGTCGAAATTTCCCGAACAAAAACGTTGAAACCAAAAACGTACCGTGCTTTCTTTTGCGACACCATCGCCGTACACATCATTAATCCTTCGAGCTGTTTCTGCAGCACTGGTGCCACGGTAGAACTCGTACTCGTAAATATACCGATATTTCATGTTTTCCATTGTGCGGTAATAAGCGACGCCAAAGAAAAAAATTATGAGGAAAAAACAAATGAATGACTGTTTTCAAAACTCAAATGTACCAGCTAAATGAATTTATAAATTTGAATGTGGAATTCTTAACCAAAGAGAAGATATTTCAGATCAAAATGATCAGTACGACAAAACGCTAATTTCATATGGAAGGACCCAATAATATGCAAAATGCTCAGACCAACAAAAAAAGACAGACGAAGTGCTGCGTACATTTTCAAGTAGCCCGAAAAGTAAGACCTAGCCAAAACCATGCTCAACTTATTATAAGAACACGCATGCTATACACATATGGTTTTAAAATCATTTGCAACTAACAACATGATCTTAGGTACACAGGTGTACTTCCAACTATGAACTTTTACGGGATGATTAAATTGAAATAAAGAAGAAATTTGTGTATTGGAGATTGTGTTAAGAAGTTAAACGTGGTTTAGCATCACCGGAGATCTACTGAGTGCTAAGGTCTATCTTTCTTTGTCTGCCTAAGACTAAATTAAGCGTTTTTAAATAATTTATTACGCTCGCACGAGCTATTCTACACATAGATTTCTATATTATATATGCATTATAGTATTCTATGATTCTACATTACCCGTCTGAAAATTTTGAACTCAACATCAATTCCATCAGTTAAATCAACACTTAGGTACATTTTCATCATTGGCATCAACAAAAAACGACGGGTTGCACTCCGGGAGTGCCGGCAGAAGTGAAAACTTGAATATTAAACGTTGTGCATTTTTGATATTTTGGAATGGTTAGAAAATTGCTTTAATTATCAATTATTTATGTGGTAGAATACAATATTTATTTATTGCGCTATCGTACACAAACATGACAATTTATATTACATTCGCGCAAGCGCCCTGCGCCGCCTAAACGAAACAGCAGGCCGCCGCGCAGTCGAAAGAGAGGGGGATACTTCCCCTCCTACACCGTCCGTCTTACGCATTTTCGATCAGGGTCACGTGTCCTGACGCGAGTTTAACAAGTTTTACCCATTACAGAAAAAGTGTCCAACGCCGCTAAAAAAATGTTCATTTCAAAAACTTTACAATTCTTTGGAAAATCGATCGGTATCCAGTTGTATTTAAAGTAATTTCTTCTTTTAGGTCTTACGGTCGCTACAAGAGATTTGCGCGGCTACCGTCATGTGACTGCCATGGCCGACTACGCACTGCGTCTCAGGGAACAGCTGCAATATGTCAATGAGCATTCTTTCAATAGTTTCCGTATTAGGATAGGTAAGAATTGGTAAAACATGAAATAACATGTATAATTAATATCTCTGCGAACACTTTATATGCCACGCGAATTGTTAATATTGTCTGTGCACCGCGTGTGTCTTGCAAAGCGTTTAAAAAATCTAGTGATAAATCGATTTGTCAGGCAACTTGATTGTTCACCAGGTATCAACATCGGTCCAGTTGTGGCTGGGGTTATTGGTGCACGTAAGCCGCAATACGACATTTGGGGCAATGCTGTTAACGTAGCTTCCCGCATGGACTCAACTGGATTACCAGATCACATCCAGGTAACAGACTATAAAATTTTTGATTCTCTTTTAATAACTTCTAGAGACACCTGTTTTATAATATTTTTTTCTTGTTGCTGGGCGACTTAAATTTATGTGGCTATGCGGTTCTAGTTTATAAACATTTTTTTTTTTTATTAAAGCAGTGCGATGTTTCACATTATTTAACAACCATAAATATATTGACTATAATTGTTTACTAAATAAAATAATGAGTTTTGTTCTTATTGTGTTGTAGTTCTGTATTGTTAAATAAGCTATCGTCAAAACATATTGTCTAGGTTACGCAAGAGGTGTATGACATATTATCGACGCGGGGATATCGACTACGATGTCGCGGCACTGTGGATGTCAAGGGCAAAGGCAACATGGTCACTTACTTCCTCGACGGTGTCGGAGACACCATCAGTCCAGTAATGCCGCGAGATATATACACGGTATGCTCTAATTTTGCAGCTAAATTAATAACCAAATGGCACTTATCAGTCAACTCAATAGTGGCTCCCATCGGATGGGTCATAAAATAAACATGGGGAATGCAAAGGGCATGTCATTGGTAAAAACGTCCGTGGCACAATGTCTGTAGTTTTTGGGAGCAATGTGTTCCAAGTTGTTGACGAGTATGCTTACTGAGAACAAATTGTCCGACTATCAATGAATCGAAATCAATCGACGGAACTGATTACGACACACCTCGTCACGTAATCATATATCTCAATACAGTCGAAGTTTTTGACTTAAATCGACCTTTCCTCATCGAGTTTCTTAGTTAAAAAAACTGTCAGTCGTAGGACTGCAAGTTAGAAGTGAAAACTTCTAAGCTTCACAAACTCGTACACGTTATTATTGGGTTGTTAAAAAATTTAAGAAGTATATATTAGAAATTATTTTTATCATAACCTGAGCGTGACGGACCGGACACTTGTATGGTGCTTTTTCCTCATCACAAAGGTGTGTCTAAAGAATTTTTCACTTCAAAAAAATTTTTTTCATGTAATGTGTAAATAAACCAAAAATGGCTAGGGTTGCTTCCTCATATCCCGGCACAGCTTATTCGCGTTAAAGAAATGTTGTTCAATCCGCTCGCACTATTGCGCTTGACAACGCCACTATGTTTGTCTAGCTGCGGTGTGTCTAGTTGTACAGATTATTTCTCATAATAAGAGTTAAAACCTTGTTTGACAATTTCTATTTAAACTGTTGTTCTGCAGATAGTGTTAAAAAGATAAAAGAATTAACTACCAACAACAAACTTAATAAAAAGCCTAGATGACCAGCTTTATGCACTTGCAATGTTCATTCGGAGTGATTTAATTTCTGAGCAATAAAATTTTCTATGGAAAAGATTCCAAGATATGACAGAATTTCCCATCGATCACTAATAAAAAAAGTTTAATATTAGTGATCGATGGAATTTCCTGACACAATTTGGAACGTAGGTAAATATTAAAATGTTTTAATGTACTAAAATTTCGTTTCCGTTTAGCGGCAGTTATAGTACAGGTATAGTCAGCAAGATACGAAATGCTTTCTACACTAATGGGTAAAATATCCTGCTAATTATTATTTTTAATAGGTTTTAGAACTTTATGTGGCTCTGCTGCTAAATAAAAATTATCGGTGCCACAGGCTCTACTCCGTTCACTATTCAAGTGGCACGAAAAAAGTTTTTCCAGACGGTAAAAAAATCATCCAATATACTATGCGGCGATCTATGGAGGATACCTGTTCGGCAATAATGGACTTTTTAATAGGCTCTAACGGTAACGGGAATTACCATAAGGAAACTCGATTTTCGTAAATTACTTATGCCAGAAAAGAGGTAAAAAACCTGACTTCGACATTTTATTTACATCGCTTATTCTTGATTGGTGCTAATTAAGAAACTGTGGAACAAAAACTATAAAAAAATATTTAAATAACTTTACTGAAAAATAGCTGTATCGAGATGTTATGTATGTACTTTTTTTTAGTACACATAACATTTTTTTTAAATTGATTTGGCAAGACTTTAAGTAGTCGGGATTTTCTAATCTTAAAAATAAGTGTGTGTTGCTTGGCAGTGCTTACACATGAATTTGCGATGAGGTCCTTTACTGATGGCTGTATGAGGAAACTCAAGGTACCTTAGTATAGGAAATTATGCTTAGAATTTCTCTGTAGTAAAGACTTCATAATTGTAACATCCGCAGTAGGAACAAAGTAACTGACATAGTCCAACGTGTCAGTAAGCTAAAGTGGCAATAGTTCACTCACTTAGCTCGAAAAGTCGATAAACGATAGGGAAGAAAAGTTCTCGTGTGGTACTAGGCTGGTATCGGTAAGCGAAGCTTAGGGTGGCCTCCCATGCGATGCGATGCAGGAAGACGATGGATTCAGGTGACTTGGCACTGTGCTTTTTGGCGTTTCATGAGGAGGCCTGTACTCAATAGTGGACTTTCAATAGTGGCTGTATCATTACAAACATTTTCAATTTTACTGCTCAAACCCATCTTTTAAATGACCTGCGACGATTTACCTACATATTATATTAATATATATGGTTCTAGAATCCAACACCTTCCACTTCGTCCGAAGACAACAATGGACCTAGTAGTGTGGGCACCCGCACTGAACACCGAACTCTCGAAACTCTCTCTGAGGGATGTACCGATGAAGATGGAGGACCATCGCCTAGAGCTTCCATCCCCAGGGGTAAATAGTATGAATATACCTTAACATGCTTTTAAATTGGTTTTATTCTTAATAGATTCCTAAATTTAACGTTACGTATTCCAAATGCTTTATAACTTATATTTGCTCTATACTAACTCTAGCTCATTATTTACATCGTTATTAACTTAATGTGCTGCGTTTTAACTAATTTACAATATGTTACAGAAAATCAGAACGGTTCAATGAGTCCAAAGCTTCTGAACGGCGAGTCATCATCGCGCGAAAGTCTTGCCAGCGCTGTTCGTGCAAGAGTACTGCGCCGTCTGGAACGTCCACTGTCCCTCGCTGATAATCCAAGCATTCCCGCTCTGATATCACTCATCAACTCAAAGGCATATTCAACTGGATTTGATAGCGCTTATTTCTATAATGAAATCTCGGGCAAAAGCAATCCCCTTGGCGATATGGAAAAACCAGTATCTGAATCAAAAAGTATTTGTGAGTTTGAAAAATTTTTGGAAAAACGCGGACCACGTCGTGCCACCAGTCTTGCCGATTTTCTTTATAAGAGGAAGCGTGCTAAGCTTAATGGCGCTCAAGTAAACATAATTGAAAACCCTATGAATGCCATGTAATTGATACCAGTAAAATCATTCTGCTCCGATTCCAAATAATGTAATACTATATTTCAACTATCCACCTAGAGGTAAAATATTTCGAAATAAGACAAACTTGAATTCAACTGAATGAATGAAGATTTAATGTGTTATTCTAAAAATTTAAAAAGACTTTGACATTTGAGAAACTGGCTTTGACATTTAAATTATGGTAGTTGGCACTAATTTCGATAGGAATATTTTTAGGAATGATCAAAATGACTGTAAAAATTGTAATAGATTTACGCTAAATGACGTAATTGCATATTAAAGTCATTTTACTTTTATTTAAACATCTGATTTGTATGTTATATCTCATAATAATTTTATTTAATCAAAATAATAAAAATCTAAAACGCAAAATCGACCAAGTTTAGAAATACTATTAAAACAACAAATTCAAATCTTATAATTAGGGAATATATTAATAATAGTGTCGGCTACCTAATTCATACAGTCTTGCCACATCCCGGATTTGACGTTTTCCCAAGACTGAACACATTGCCTACAATGAAAATAACAACGTTCTTTACAATGTTTCAATTGAACGAAACTCTTAACGAATTTACTTATATTATATTGGGTACGCGGATTGGTCATTTCTTCAAGGTTGTGATATAACGTTGACTGACTACGCGGGATATTGCAGAAAAGTTTTTTCCGCAGCAAAAGTCAATTGAAACTTTTATGTGTTATTGTGGATTTTACATAATATAATATATTGGTAACTATGAGATTCCAATTATTGTATATAATTAGATAGGGTTACAATTCTATAGGCACGGTTTATATTATAGTAGTTTGTCCAAAATATTAAATGTATAATCAATACCTTAAATGCATACACTACTTCTATTATAGTACCTAATATCATTTAAAAAATATATAATTATTTTTAACAATTTACTTTCGAAACTCTTCGTGTCATCCTTTTTTAGATTAATTTGTTTAAAGTTTTCATACTGATCTTTACAATAATCAGAGCACCCCGTTTTAATATAGATACATTATCTTTGCCAAACCTTTAAATATAAAAATATTTTTGTAGATTCCAAAATTGAAACGAGCTTATTCCTATAATAAAATTATACATTAAAAATTATGTAGTAGTTTATCGTTGTCTATTAAAGTTAAAATAAAAAAAAAATGAAAAAGTTAAAGGGTAATATTTTATAAAACGTTGTGTTTCTGCTTTTTATTTTTTGCACAATGACAGTAGAAGCGTGTGCTTACATTTTTAAATGGTATATAAGTACCTATTTATAATATAAAGAAGACCTAAATATTAATTTTATACTTTGTACACAATGTTGCCCCTTTTGTTATTTGTAAGAAAACTTTTGAATCTAAATTGATTTGGTCAAATTACTTTAGCTCAATAGTTAAGCCATATTATAATCTCAACTTTAGTTATATTTACTTATTTAACATATAAATTTCATAATATCGTTAACATATTTTAGTTTGTGTACGATGTCAAATCTAGTTTACGTAATTAGGATATAATATCTACAGGTGTGTATCGATGTCTTAACGTAATTTATAATTATTTACAATGCTTTAAGAACTGAGTCTGTACTTAAGAATTAAGATCTAATCTCGATTAAATAATGATACAATATCCAACCATTGTGCAACAGGTATTGTGTAAAATTTGTAACAGCTATGTGTTTTTTTTTTAACTTAAAAATAGAGTTCGACTACGAAATGTTTGACATACCTATATACTTTCGGGTAACTCGCATAATTCAAAGTGGTTATACAGTTAAAATATCTGTTGATTAACAGATAATTTGTACCAAAGAAATAATGCGTCTTTTCATAAAGAAACTGTTGTTTCAAATACCTACAGTATACGTTTAGTTGTACGAGGCAAACACAAAATACGGGTATTAAAAAAGCATTGCGACTTAACTGCGACTTTTAAGTTCCACCACTATAAGTTATTCGTATACGATTATTACTATAGTAAGCTAGTAGGTAGTTTTAAAAGCACTATGTATTTGTGCATCGTAAATTATAACATAAACTGTAATTGTTAATGTAATATTAGTGTTGTTATAGAATATTTCCTTACAAATGACACGTGGATCGATGCAGCTTACAGTAATAAAAATGTTTAATATAAACCGAATATCCTAATATTAAGGTCCATATAGGATCATACTTCACCGTAGATATTCGTTATATTGCAGTATATATCATTACATACGGAATAGTTTATTATCATTTATGAATATTTTAAATATAACACTCAATATTGATATATATATATATATATTATATATGTTATAGGCGAACTGCCAAGAGCTGTTGGAAGTAACCATTATATGGGACATAAATAAAGCTATCGCCGCATCGATCCACAACGATCGCATTGTCCTAAACGATTTCTGTACGAACGCATCTTTCATTTCACTATATCGTTATCTTTTTTATGCCTTTTAGTTGCGCCTGTTTTGATCTTATAAGTGATTGCAACAACCATATCACAAGTATGAACATCAAATACGACGCTTTCGACCAAATCCCGGGTCCAAACTGTTAAGAGCTAAATTATATTTGTTACGTATTTTACAACTTGTTGCGTTCGATCAGAATCTATGCATTTACTAATACTTAATATAGAATCCTAATGTTGTAGGGTAAATGTCTATTTAAGGTTACCATATCCATCTTCATAACTACACTTTAAGGGGTGTTTTAATAAGTATATTAATATGTTTTAGGTAAAAGATCTCTCACGGTTTACTGGGTACTTACACAAATACGATCTGACTATGTGAATTATAACCAATATATAGAACAGGAAAAAAATTGTAAATAGTTCCATTTAATTCTTATTTATAAATTCGCTGGTGATATCAATTTTCTTAAAAATTACGTTATAATTTGCTTAAGCGTTACAGAAAACTACTAGTCGTCTTTACTACGATGTAGTTACATAATCGGTCTAAGGCCTCATCAAATTTTGAAAACGATCATTTTGTAAATTAACGAGTTCGTACATTTTTATGCATACTGCTTCATTTCCATGACGCACAGCAAGATAGATAATCTGCAATTTTTTCGCAATAAAAATTTTTTTGAGCACAGCTTTCAAATATTGAGTAATAAGTGCGTCTTTAAAGTATGTATAAGACACATTTACAAAAAAAAATATTATGATGTGATCTTTCTTATTGTAGACTATAAATCTTAGGGGCTTCGTATACCCACCCCTGTTAATGACAATGTCATTTTTACTTCTTTTAGGTAAAATTAAATATTTTTTGATGTTTCTATACGTAGTAATATAATACAATAATATCACTAGCAGTTTTCGTGCCAATTGAATAGAAATTCATCCAGCCTGACAGTATTATTCTGCAGTAGAAATTCACTTAGATAATTATAACGTATTACTACCTACCCGCGGATAAAAATATGTCTATTAACTTATAATATCCAGAACCGTTTAAAAAAAACATTAAAAAATCACAAAAACAAAATAGAAAATCAAATGTTAGATGTACGTTACAGCTGTTGTTCCAATGTATACTCATATAATATAATGTAGTTCTTATATACATACCTACTTAAATAGCATTTTAACAGTATTTAAAAAAAATACAATATCTATTATGAGCTTTCGAGCCGGCCAAAGCATCCTTTTGGTATGACAGGAAAAATCTTAAAAAATATAAGTTGAACTTAAAGATACGAGTTAGTGCCAATTCACTACTAACAAATTGTAATTCTTGTATTACCATTCCAATATTAATTATAATTATTTTTATATATTTATGCACATATAAATCACAAGTAGAAACTTCAATAAAAACCTTAAATAATTTTGTTTATTGACGGAGCTTAAAGATATGATCATCATCAACTTATTTCTGAGTTAAAACTGTCGGCAATATCTCCAAACTGTGGGCAAAATTATTTAACAAGTAATTGCAAATTACTTACAATTTGCATTTACTTGTTAAATAATATAGGCAAACCGCTTAAAGCCGATCTCATACATACGGAATTCCGTTTCGATATTCCGTTTCGGAATCCCGATTCGGGATTCCGCACATACATCACACACATACGTTTTTTTTCCGTTCGGAATAAGGCTCGGTTGAGAGATGCCAGCCTTTGAGTACAGATATTCAGCCAGCGAATATAGACGACGATATTGCGATTGCATTGTTGCTGTATCTAGCCAAGAAGAATGTTGCCACCGTTACTGGGTGCATCCCCTTAACGCCCTAAGATTACAAGATAGCCAGTGTTATGTATAAAGATTCAAATTACGAGCTTATCCAGATTTTTTTAATACTATCGGATGTCTATAAACTCTTTCGACAAATTATTTCATTTCTTACATCATTTCTTAATGAAGAGCTAGAGGGAACAGTAACAGGGGTGGAAGAATCATATTGAGCGTAATCTATAGTGCTTAAGAGGATAGAGTAAGTCAGCTCAAATTCTAATTTCGCCCCCACTTCCCCGCGCGTCGTATGCTATGTACCGATATGTTTGTAATCACTAATACTGTAAGTAGAAAGGTCATTAGACACTTATTTCATTAGGGTTATCATATTTATGCCTGTTTCTTAACGAAAAGCCAGTCGCTTCTTATTTTTATCACGGTTATTTCCCATTTTAATTTTACGTCGTACTGTTGCGTAATGTATATTCTGATCGTAAGCGACACAACTTCTCCCTTCAAAAGCCTAAGCGATACTAACGGGGCGACTGGAATCAAGCTCAAGACGCCGATAGTTTAGGTAATTTCTTTTTACAGTGAAAATAATGGTATTTTAAAAAAAGTAAATAACATAAGCACTGCTTTATAGTTAGTTCAGTTAGTATGCAAAGTTTCATGATCTTATTTAAAGTATTTTATGAATAGCAGCGGTTTATTGTTTATTTTGGAGGTAACTTTGGATTTTTTTTTCTATCGAGAAAATTTTACGAAATCGTGTTTTCGTCTAACATAATCA